TTTTTTATATAGGAGGGATTGTCCTAGATAAGTGTAGATATAAGGAACACAAAGATGGAAAGACAGGCAGTGAAGAATGGACAGTGACATTGTCTGTATATTTTAACTCAATATAACTTTATAGTTAAATATAGTTGAACAAAAACGTGTGTTTGTTAATTAATTTAATTAATCTACACTGAAAATCTACAAGTACGAGGTCAAACAATAACATTAACAATAATAACAACAATAATAAATAACATTGGTGGCAGCAGATGAAAAGAACCATTAATTCAAACGAGACACATCTATTCGATCAGGGTGAGTTAAATTGTTATTGAATTAGTCAAGGTGCATAATTCGAACAACGGATCATTCTACTCAATTGCAGAGCATTCCATTCAACTACAGAGCATTCCAGTCAATTTCGGAGCATTCCAAACAAATTCAGCAATTAACGGTGTCAAAAACAGTAGAGGAACRATTTAAATAATGTTAAATTTATTGGTATTGTAAGTTTGTTTTTATATATATTTTAAGCATATCTATAAGTTTCTATCCATATTTAATTGATGAGCAACGAAAGTAGTAGTACTAATATCAAAACACAGAACGATAGTAGGGACGAAACTTTCATCCCAGATAGGTCATTTGATTCGGATGATAGTAGAGCAAGCCAAGCGACATCTAGTAGGGATATCGATAGTAATCAAGTAGAAAATACAGTGCAAAATAAGAGTACTTTGCTAAGACTTCAAAATCCTGACACTGGTAGGAAATACATTACATTTGCCAATACAACSTAGATGGTTAGGTAGGTGTACCAGCAGAAWTAAGTTCGAACATCGTTAAGGAAGATATTTCTTTTGATAATAGTACTTAGTCATACAGTTTTGAGCCAAGTTTGGATCAATTAAGTACAGAATTAGTAGATATGAGTGTAATGACTTCATTAGAGACAGAATTTCGAATTTCACCAAAGTTTGACAAACAAGACTCTGAAGGTTTACATAATTTTATAAAGTTGTCAGAATTTGCTTTTACGTGTATTAGTGAATTAAAAGAACT